CTCGTAGCAGGTGACTTTAATGCCCGGATAGGTAGCTTAAACCAAATAGAAAGGCATTTAGGTGGGTATTTTAATATTCCGGCACAACAAAAAGATAATGGTGATCGTCTGCTGCAACTGTGCTCAGCCAATCGTTTATTTTTAGCAAGCACAAATTTTAAGCATAAGGAGAGACATCGTCTAACATGGCGACCGCCTGCACCAAACCATTGAACTCAAATGGACTATAATGCCGTCATTCATCTTAAGAGAGGGTCGGTTTAAGATTGTCGCTCGTTCTGGAATACCTTCTTGGACTCCGACCATTCTCTAATATGGGCACGCATCTGCTTGCGCCTCACTGGACGCAAAAAGCCACACTAAAAAGACCCTTTAGAATGGAATTGAGTAATGAGAAAACCAAAAGTAGGTTCCAGGAACAACTGCGGTCACACTTAGGTAGTTCTGAAAACGAGGCTGACCCAGATGTTGCTTGGAAAGCTATACAAACAGCTGGGAAACAGCAGTGACATCTGTTAGTGATTTTAACCAAAGGGTTACCAAAAACCATTGAATTTCTTCTAAGACTATTGCACTGATGGATTCTCGTAAACTCATCCCATCAGGCTCTGAACACGATGAAGAGCGAAAGCAAATCAGATCTAGGTTAACCAAAAGTCTACGGAGCAGTCGTGAGCAGTGGTGGGTGACGAAAGCAAAAGAGATGGAAAAGACAAAGGCTGTAGGTAACACCAGACAGCTTATCAGACCAATAAAATAAACCGGAATTAAGGGGTTAAGTGTAAGTGAGACAATCACAGAAAAAATGGCACTCTTATGTTCTCTCAGTCTAGACGTTTAGAACGATGAGCGGAACATTTTAAGGAGCAGTTCAGCTGGCCTTCAGCTACTCTACAACTACCTACCATTCCCAGACAGCGTGAATGGAACATGGAAGTAGGTCCGCCGACTATAACTGAAGTTCAAAAAGGTATAGCTAATCTGAAACGAGGAGGGGCAGCTGGTCCAGATGGATTGGCTCCAGATGTCTTTAAGGATTTTGGTCTAGTTTTGGCGATTAGGTTAACTAATATTTCATAAAATCTGTGAGTTAGACGTGATCCCATCTGATTGGTCGCAATCACTGATTGTTCCGATATATAGGGTGTCAAAATCATCCTGTGGTAGCCATAGAGGCACTATTTTGACTAACATAGCATCTAAAATACTAGCTTCAATATTTATCGGGTGCCTAACAAAAACTTGTGAACTGCAAACACGAGAGAATCAGGCTGGCTGCATCGACCATATATTCACCATTCATCAGGTTCTAGAACACAGGCATGCTTATCGGCGTCCGGCAATGGTGGTCTTTCTTGACCTAAAAGCAGAATTTGACTCTGTAGACCGAGAGGTTCTATGGCAGTGTCTGTCATCGAAAGGCGTACCTCAGAAGTACATAAACCTTGTGAAGGCTCTTTACTCGAACACTACTAGTCGAGTCAGAGCTTATGACGAACTGTCATCTGATGTTGCAACCTCAAGTGGTGTCCGATAAGGCTGTCCACTTTCTCCACTTTTGTTTAACTTCATTATAAACTTACTGATGGAAATAACACTCTCGTCAACTGAATTCTCGGGCATTGATCTCCTACCAGGAGGTCCACTTATCGACTTAGAATATGCAGATGATATGATCCTGTTTGGTGAAGACTCTAAAATGCAGTCTTTTGATAGCACTGAGCAACAATGCCAGAATGTTAGGGATGCCCTTCCACCCTTTCTAAATGCAAATTGTTGCTTAAGAACTGACCTGCGTCAACACCTGAACTTCACGGCTGCAGAACGTGGCCATTAAGAGTAGAAGATACTCATAAGTTACTAGTATTTGATCACAGATGTCCTAGAAATATTGCCAGCATCTGCTTGGATCACTGGATAAGTAATAGTGAGGTTAGACGGAAGTTACTAGGGAATGATGGTAATTTAGTTGGTGAGGTTGTGAATCTACGCCGACTGAGATGGTTGGGTGACGTATTGCACATGTCCAACTACCGACTACCACGACGCGCAAAGCTGACTAGTGTTGAAGGCAGATTGGAAAAAGTTAGTGGCGGCCAAACGACGTCATATATGTCAAATCTTTAGAATAATCTAAGTCCCGAAAATAATCCAGGCGAGTTATATATGGCTTAACATCGATTACCACGAAGCGCAAAGCTGACTAGTGTTGAAGGCAGATTGGAGAAAGTTATGGGGAGCCAAACGAAAAAGTGGCATCAGTCATTGAAGTCGCTAACTTCTCGTCTTAGCCATGTTGGTAGATGCATAATACTTGGTTGGAGTCCACATGACTGTCGTAACCAATGGTTGGAGACTCTGGGTGATATGGTCCAGAATCTATCACAATGGCGTCGATGCATACACTCTTTGCCTTTCTTTAAACCATAAGATTAAAATCGCTTTATATCCTTCGTTCTATGAACTGTTTCTTTCTTTCTGTACTATGTCATTATACACAATCTTTCTTTCATATATTACTACAATTGAAGTGACTATTTCTATGAATTTGATGCTTATTTTGTTGTGCTAAAGAGGTGTGGCAACTTGGGCCGATGCATGTATGTGTCTGGTCCTACGTTGTCGATGACTGACCGAGAGAGATATGAACCATTTGTAACGTAGAGCGCATGTATATCTGTCTTAGCTCTCACAATCAATCCTTATGTAGAAGTAAAATATCAAAACGATGAACAGTGCAAAAGTGAAAACAGTAAACATGACGTTGGGAGTAAATTAAAAATTTTCCTCAAAAGGGACTGATAAACTGAAGCAATGAAGGAAATATAATTGTCATAACAAAGTAAAAATTAAACCTGTTTGTCAAATCCTGAATTCATTGAAATGCAAGTGGCCTACGAAATCCGAATCGTCCGACCATTTATTTTGTGGTGTTATTTTTGTATATAAACATGTTCTTTTGCTATAGAAAGACCTTGTTTTGCTAGTTTGTTGTATTGTCTTCAATCTCAGTCCATCCAGAGGTCCAGTGTCTTGAACTCTGATTGCTCATTCGCAATCGTATCATGGAATGTTATATGTTGGCTGTTAGATTAGAAAGTTCCATCAAGGTGAGAAGAAATCGGCTTGAGAAACGATGTCTTTTCGTCATCTCCGAGTATGCAACGACAGATTACAGCCCGGATGCAATCAAGGATGAATTCTACCACCAGTCAACTGTTCTTCCGTGGGTTGATACCCAGTTTTGAACCTAATTCGGTTCGATATTTGATTGAAACAGAAGCTGCAACCAATTTGCTGACATCGATTCGTTTAGGACAATGAATTTTTTGGCCACTTAATATAAGATTAGCGCAAACAAGGACATGATCAGGGTCCAGATAGGTACTGCAAAAGGAGCACCAGTCTTGTACACAACCACGCCTGCGGTAGCTGATCGCGATGTGATATATCTGAGTTCAGGTTTGAGCTTCAGAGAGATGATATCAGGTAGCACATCGGCGATGACTATACCTATGGTTAGTGATAACCAGAAATAGGCTGTAGTTTGTTCAAAGTTATAGTAGACAGTCGTCGTTACCCGACCTGTGCATTCAAGTATTCAGCATGTACTACAATGTCTCTCAAATGCACTTCCTGTAGAAGAACAGTTAACTAGTGCTAAAACTCATCCTTAATCGCATCCATGTTGCGATCTGTCAAAGCGTAAGCGTTGATGAAAAGACATCGTTTCGCACAGATTTCTTTACACTTTGATGGAGCTTTTTAGTCTAACAGCACATAACTGACTGTTAATGGTGATGCAGTTGATCAGTGCTGCTTCAGCTCTAGCATTCAATGCAATGCCGACGCCTGCAAAACGAAAGAAAGATGCCTCAGTGTCCTCGGATAATTGCACGCAAAAAACTTTTCGAAGAGACAGATAGAGAGCCAATTTGTAGTACTTCATTAGAGTCAAAGATATGAATATCATATAGACAATAAACGTCGACATTAAGACTTTCTAATGATGTCGCCAACCCCATTTGTTTTACGATCTGCATTAGTGTGCGAATGTTGGAGACCAGTTTGAATTGCATACGTGCTTTCAGAAAAATGGCTGAGTATTCATATCTGTCGGTAGCATTCAACGTCCGATTAGTCCATGACTTGAGATCGTTTAGATTTGACAAGGTTTTCGCCATAGGCGAGCTATTGTAGGAGTTGAAAAATAAAGGAGCATACAGGATGGAAATAAAGGAATAGTTAAGTGACGCAATATAAAACAAAAACGGATACTACAAAATTGTTTTGAGCATGATTTGTGAGAATGAGAATTAAAGCGTGAGTGGTTTTCCTAGTTTTAGTGATCATTTGTTTTTTGTGTGGTCTGGTATATTTCTTGGGAGCCCAAGCCGAGGCAGGTGGTTTTCTTAGAGACCAACTCGAGCCTTAAACTTAGAGGTCTAATTTATGAGTCTATAGATCAACGTTAGGAGATTCAGTTCCGTGGTAGCCGGTGACCAACACCAGGTTCATGCTTCATTTGTTTCCTTAGGATCCTGGAGCCCGTGTGTATCATTGGTTTGGGACCAGGGCTTTCCAACTTCCGTAGGTAAATCTTCCGTACCCCCAGCTTTGGTTAAGCACCGGTCATCCGCTTTTCGTCTTGATTTTTAAACTATGCCACCGCTTCGAGTAGGACTTTGACAGTGTCCGTCTACGCGTGGGCATATGAAAACATTTCTAGATTAAGGGCGGAATCCCTACCCTCGGTTGTACCAAGGCGTTTGTGAGTTACCTTTATTGTTCTTGGATTCGCCTTTATGGTTTTATTTCGTGCTAATGGCATATGTCTACTTGTATCGATTTCTACGTTGCATTTGACCGAATCACATTTTCGTTCTAATTTCCATGAACATCAAATTAATGTTGCCGAATAGCAGTTATTGTTTGTATACCACGAACGATATTCGTAAAATTTTATTTTTTAATTCATTTTATAATTTTTCTTAATACAGATTCCCTGGATCAGATGGACCTGGAATACCTACAGGTCATGGTACTCAGGGAGGAGGAGGAGGATCAGCCTATGGATCTCAAAATGACGCAGAAGATTTATACAACTAAACGATTGTCACAACATTTTACTTTTCAGTTTATTGAAAACTTTAGGCTCAAGCTATCCTGTGTCATCAATTTCACCTACTTATGCTTCTGGTTTGAATTCTAATTATCAGTTATGTGACGTCTGACTGATTAATTTTTTCTATCCCCAAACTGTTCCCTTTGTAATTCAGACAGAATTTGTACCTGGCATATTTCCATACATTTATTTCATGTTATTACTTCTCATTCTACTTAGTTATGTCTACAATGCGCAATATTTCCTTTTACTCTTCGAACATTCGAGATGGGGCTTTTACACATTCATGTCTCAAGTAGTTACAAGTGAAATATCTTTTGAATAAGTATTTTGTAGTAGGGTCGATTCAAGTGGTATTTTGGGTTCCAATTCTATAAACTGTAGATCAAATTTTAACATTGCACTAAAAGATAAATATGAGCTCTTTTTTATAAGTAAATAATTACAATAAAGAACAGGAAAATTTGAAGTCGATATTACCTGTGTTTCACTTCAAAATGGCTATTAAGATTTAAAAGAAGAAAAATTGAATATATCGACTCTAACTTTATAATGATCCTGGAAAGTAGTAGATAACTTCCATTTTAGGGTGTGTATTACTAATTTGATTTCAGACGACCTTCATTCTTACACTTAGTAACGTTACGAGCCTATAAATCTCATGAACTCAAGTCTTATCCAACAAACTGTTGCATGAACTTTAATCATATGTCGATTCCTGAGCTGCTAAATTCTAACTACGGATCACTAATTAATAAGATGAACTATCTTCAATTCCTGATGATGTGGGTACATATGTGACTCGTAAACGTGCTCGGATCACTGTATAAGTCCCGGTTTACCTAAAGTATATGGGAAGAGTGCACTCTTAAATCGGATCAAGAAATATAGAAGAAAATATTCAAAATCTGAAAATCATCGTAAGACTAACTAGGAATTATTTATAGATGGCTCACTGGGAAACATTACTGATGTTATCACTTGTCACACTAAAGCAATTTTATTAGAGTTTATATTGACTTACATCTCCACAACTAGAAGGACTACAGAGGGTAAAATAAAGAATATACAATGAGAAAAACCGAAAATGTAGAGTGTGTGAGATTTAGACCCATAGCAGTAACTTTACCTTTCCTCAAAATGGAAAAATTGTTGTTACTCCCACTTCAACCTGCATTAAAAGAGCACATTGATCCGTATTAGTTTGCTTACAAATGCTAAAGAAGCACCTTATATGTTGTTGTTCTGCATCACAATAGTGCTCATCTCGGAAATGTCTAAGGACGTTCGATGTGCTTTTCTGAATTTTACTCCTGCTTTTGATTCTATCTCAAGGCGCTAGTACTGACAGCTGGATAACCAACTGGCTATGTACCTACCTCTGGAATAGCAGTACACTGCACTTGGAGTAAAGTGCTCAGTGTCTCTACTATCTCATGAAGGTGTGCCACAAGGGGCTGTTCCTTCACCTCTTCTGCGTGATCTGCCATCTTCCACAGAAAACACTGAATTATGCGGATGAGCTCACTGTATGTATGCCGATTTCTGCCTCTTTACATTCCAAAGAAATGAATGAGTTTTTGTCTCGTATTGAGTGGTGGTATGTTGTTAATGGTCTCATACTTAGTCCGTCTATTTTTTTCTGTCTTTTGTAAAGAAACTTGTTGAAATACCTCGTGCTGAGAGTTATATACTGTACCAAAATATAATATTGAATAAAGCCATTAATAATAATATTTACTTACATATTACAATCTCCCTTCAGTTTATGTCTCCGTGCTAGCTTGGGAATGCCGTTCACGTAATATTTTACGGCCAGAATAGTTGAGAAGTAATTCATATTAGCGTGTTTCCGGATCTTGATGTACTGAGAATTTGTCTTCTTCACTACACACAAACCTGACTATTTCCAGGTGTGCATTCTGACAAGAAATCTGGTCATTTAAAAAGTATTTCACGTGTAACCAGCAACTTTGATAATCGTGATAATCAAAATGTCTTCTCTCTCAATTTATATATTACCGGGGTACCTGATATTTTTTCTCATCATAAGGATATAATAATCTTATCATACTATCGTTAGATTATCTGAGTAAATATTTGGCGGTTTCTGAAATGTGGCTGGATATTATCCATATAAACATATCCGCAAAAGTGATTCGCTCACTTGTAGAACTATCCCTAGTATCAACAAGGTAGGAAGTTGCATCACAATTGCCACATCCTACCTGTAAGTCAGATGATAGTACAACATCAGCTGAAAAGTAACCTAAACCACAGTTCGGTTATCGACTAAGTCTGTATACCGTTGAGACTCTATGTACACGTCATCAATGTTCAAAAATACTTGATGTAAGCAAACTACATAAACATAGTTTATTGAGACCAGATGTCTCCAGATTCTATGAATACAGTTTAATTTAACGTACACAAGACATGACTGAAGATTGTTTGTAAGGACTTACCTTCTCCTCAGGAATTGATTAACAAATGAATTCGGCCATAGTCAGATATATGTTTAGTAGTATTGTGAAGCTATAATAATAGATATGACCACATATTTTCAGCATAGGTTTGTGAAATTCGTTGAGTTTTAATTGAGATCATGAACCGATCAATGTTAGACCACCAGTGCAAACCTGGGAGCACTGGTCGGCCGTTTCGTCCCGATGTGGGACCCCTCAACAATGCGAATCCACGATCCTACAAGTGGGGTTCGGACCCAGGGCCTTCGGTCTCGCGGGTGAACAGTTAGTCTCTAGACCATTGATCCGGCATCCAACAGTGATAGAGTCTAACTTAAACCAATCCATGATAATGTGCGACCACTTTTCTGCTCTAACATTGATCGGTGCATAATCTCAAGTAAAGCTCAACAATCTCCACAAACCCATACTGATTGTTATCATGTGCTCACTCGTGACTAGCTTCGAGATGTAATTCTCGGAGTTTTAGTGAGAAGCCGTGACCAATGGGTGTGAACGTGTCGGGTGTGAGGCAGTTACCCACCGACAATGGACAATAGTCGCGCAATATCGTGGACTGGTTGAAGTTAGACGTTAACACTGTTGGATGTCGGCTCAGTGGTCTATAGGTTAATTGTTTACTTGCGAGATAGGAGGTTCTGGGTTCGGACCCTGCATGCGAGGTTGTGGACAAACAATGCGGAGGAGTCAGGTCTCAATTTAACTCACTGGTAGTAGTAGTCTGTTTCCTTCTAAAGGAATTTAAACCATGTTTACTTGTATATCAAATACTGTGTACGTGTCATTTTGTTAAAAAGGACAGTTTATTTACTAGCCATTCTATATTTTGATATTCATTCATTGGAAAATTTGTTGTAGATTTATTTAGTACCTAGCAGTAATTATCATTTGGCCGAGTATTACATCAATTCAGGGGATCGATCACAAATGTTTGGCTATAAACACACTTCATCTTTCATCTATGACAAGGTGCTGCATCAATAAACCATGACCTCGAATTTAAGTTCAAGTCAGCTCATAAATCGACTGTCAGGTTCAACTATCATTCCTAGTAGTAAGGTGCAGCAATTAATACTGTTACACGCTTATGTAATTTGTACCAACCTTTGGATAGATAAATTTTTCTTATCTTCCTACTTATTATGTCACCCATATGTTTGCGCTTGTCAATTATTAACATGTAACTTTGATCATGTTTTATACATGTGTTCTTGATAGTATGTATGCGTTTATCTGCTTCATGTATTTCTTACATGATTTATAAACACTGAATTATCTTATTGTTTCTGAATCTCCAATATCACCGATCTTCAATGCTTTGTACATTGGCTGAATGTTTTATTTCTAATTTCATTTTCAATATAACTGTCTGAAATTACGTTTTTTTAGATACAATTCGTAATCTACTTTTGATATACCGTTATTTTAAACGTGTTGATTCGACAGGAGATATACTACGTCATTTAGGATATATACATCATTATCGTAGATAATCGAAGTTAAATAACGGTCGCTCGAGAGATGTAAGTAATCCAATGACATCTTAATACAAAACTTGAAGGTTATGGATTTTACCCCCGGTTGGGTTTATTACGATCACGAATACTGAGTCTTCAAACTAGGACGAAACACCTAGCTACTGTTCGTTAATAGCTCTTCAGCTGATGTAAACCAATGATTAGAGCTTTCCTCAAATATATACTAAACAATGAATGAATCATCTTCTCTAGTCCATTAGGAATTCACTAGTCTCAAAATCTGTTATTAAAAATGTTCTCTCCGTTCGTTTTTTTCAATGTAAAGTGATTCTTTTATTTATTGAAACCAGTTATAATGTAAATAAAATAACTTCATTCTTCTAATATTTATTCAATTCATTGATTGCAATCATTTGAAAGGGGTAGATCAGTGATTTAGACCTCGTGAATAGTTATTGCTCAGTTAATAAATAATAATAATAATAATAATAATAATAATAATAATAATAATAATAATAATATATGTATCCATGCTATAGCTACTTAATTGTACAAATAACCAATTTTCGTCAACTCTATAATGACAGATAAATGTGATTGTAACTTTAAGAAAATACAATATCAAACAAAGAAAAGGTTTGCTTATATCCATTGTGCATCATCATAGAAGACTAAATCAATAACTTACATTGATCGGCAAACACTAGAAAATACGGAAAGTATGTAAAGGTTGATTGAACACCATTTTGATATTTGCTTATTTCTACAAAGAGGAAGAAAATTTCTTAAAATTGAAGTTTTTTAGTTACGTTAGGATTCATTTATATGAACGTATTAATTTAAAATTGATTCAGAAGACATATTGTTTTACTTTCGTTAATCAATCTGCTAATTGATGTTGATAAAATTGTACTTGTTCAGATATTTGTGTAGACTTATTATTGTTGAAAGGGTTTAGCTGATGTATGCTTAAAATTATTTGATAAAATGGTTGGATTATACTACATTGATGGCTTTAAAATTGTTGAAATTGACCAATCAGAATGAAGTTAGTGATTGATTAATATTTGAGCGGTTTTTGACATGAAGTTAGGGATAACACTCCTGGATATCATGTTTTTGGCGAGATTTCTCATTTTGCTTAGTTTGATTGATCATATGTTCATAGATCACCAACAGAATATTGAAAGGATCCATCTTCTGAAGCTGTAGTCAAGGCATGACATGGAGAGGA